GAAAAGTTACTGAGATCGCGGAATGACTGTGCCACCTTCCAATCTTTCTCGAAGTAGTAAAGCTTAATTTTGCGAATATGCGGATGGTGTTTCGAGTATATTCTTGTAGAGGAAATCGCGTAGATCATTTCTAGAGAAAACCCGAACTCAGTATTCAAATTCTGTCGAGAGAAAAAAAGCGGCGAAAAAATCCGCAATAATTATGCATCAACCTAATATGTTGTAATATGACTGATTTCCTCTTCACTCCTAGCTGCAGTAATGTAGTGCTTCCGAAATAGGAAGAAGAACATATCCATTCCAATAGAAACTATTACAAATACAGAATTCAAGCCGGACCATCACTTGATAGAGTACAAACCGGAATTCTCTACGGATATCACAAATAGACCTGAGTCAAGCGTGCTAGTGTCAATGGTGCTCCATTAGACTGGATCAGAATGTAGGATGCGAACGTAATCGACAGCTCATGTCAAGTACCGAAGTTTTATGTACCAGAAAATGAACGTTTTTGCAGAACTGCTGTCTTGAATTTTTTTTATGCAGAAACACACGACATCCAATAGCAACTGAGGACACAGGCTTTGACAAGGCAGTCGTTGATGTTTGTTGGCACACGATATTCACTTCTAACATCCCTGTTGCAAGAAATATGTTGCCTTTTATTAGATGAAAACGGTTCAATCATAGTTCCGGAAACGACGTGAACACTGTTACGTTAGCGCTTCGCCAAACAAAGGCGAAGACTAATATACCCAACTGCAAGCTGTGCTGCGAGTCACACTCCTCTGCAAGATCAGGGTAATTTTCGATCACTCGCTGCAGAAGAAAATCCGATAAAATGCATAACTTGGTAGTTAAGATGAGGTGATTTCGCATAATTGGTAGGTCTGCCTGCTTTCTACAACTCATCGAGAGTGTTTTATTACCAAAACTGACGAGAATACTCTCCAAGAAAAGCTAGCAAGTAAAGTCGGCCTTTTAGGTGATTGCGACTAGAAAACTTTTAGCGCGCTCAGCTAGGTGTGATGCGAGTGTTACTAGGGTATAAGGCAGTGCTGGGGAGGGGAGGCACCCAAGACAATGTATAACAAGAAACTTACGCGGTTCTACGTGTTAATCCGCGTCATAGTAGCACTGTATCAGGGACGAAGAGGGAGATAAGCGAATTCTTTCTGTGCTATAAGCATTCTTTTTGAAGTGTCAGCCAGTGGATGTAGTTTTTTCAACTAACAAGGGAAGGTTACTTGGTAGGCCATTCGAGATGAGATGTATGCCCCCACAGGTGGTTTCAGACGCTGATCTCAAATCTGTGTTCCAAATCTGCGAAACGACTCTGGGAACAAAGTTACGGGACCGATGCCTCACTGTGTTATACCACAGTAACGAACGGATCACCGAGCCGAACAAAGCCGTAACTGTGCAACGGCGGCGCAGCTGATAGGACGGTGGACTGATAGGCACGACATCAAGGTTCGATGCCTTGATGCACGCGCTCGTTCTGCTTTTTTATGAAGCGCGTCCTCAACGCTTGCAAAACGTTTTTGGGCTCAATATTGGGCATTTGCGCAGCTCCCTCTCAATCTAGGATTCCGAGGAATAGTAATTCGATAAAAACTCCTTCCCATTACTGACCGTAGAAACATGTACGCCTTCCTACCTCGAACAGTCAAGATGGTGTTTCGAAATCTTCGGCAGCTCCCTGCACCACTTATGGGAGACGGCGGTCGAATGACTCATCCAACCATAGCCCTCTTTGCGAGGGTACGGTCCACGCATACTAGAATACTGTCCGCGCTTTCGAAGCGGTGATACAAGTTAAATGGCATTGTTGAAGAAATACTGAAGAGCAATAGTTTATAGCCTTGTGTGCGAATATGATTATAAGCTAATTCTATTCTTGACGTAAACGCCCTTTCAAGAGTCCCTTTCATGAGGTAAATGTGGTGGTGCGGTGAAGCATGATACCACGGCTGTACTAAAAACCCTGAATCCAATAACGACTTGCTCTGAAGTTGTCCCCTATAGTCCTCCATTGTTGATTTGAAGCGGTATCCAGTGAAAATGTTCGGTAAGAAGATTTGCTGGTGACATATAGAAAAGCGTTAGATCAGATGAATCATTTGGAACCTTCCTCCTCGACGCCCCTCGAGCCCACTTTGAGCAAATGTTTAGAATTCCTCTTTTGTTCAAATGTAGCTCTACCCTTATTCGGCCGGTGAGGGGCAAAAAATACTTTTCTTCTTATACCTTTTCAGTGTTCCTAAATTGAGAGGGAGCTCCATAAGTGCCCAACTTGAGCCAAAGAACGTTTTGCAAGCCTTTAGGACGCACTTCATGGAAAAAACAAAACGAGCGCATGCATCAAGGAAACGAACCTTGATGTCATGCCTATCAGTCCACCGTCCTATCAGCCGCGTCACCGTTGCACAGTTACGCTTTGTTCGGCTCGGTGATCCGTATGTTACTGTGGTATAACGCAGGGAGGCATCGGTCCCGTAACTTTGTTCCCAGAATCGTTTAGCAGATTTGGAGCACAGACTTCAGATTAGCGTTCGAAACCACGTAGGGGGTATACATCTCATCTTGAATGGCCACTGCGACCAAGTTTCCTTCCCTAGTAAGCTTTGGGACGGTAGGAGCACCGGGATGGGTAGAAACATTATCTCTTGCGAAGAGCTAAAATTCCAACCACCCCGGAGCTCCTCTCCCTCTGAGGCTTACTTAAAAAATTGCATGTTCGTGGTGTAGCGCGGCGTAACACGTAACACCCGTGTTGATTCCTGGATATACCAACATTGTGACCCAACTACATATTCACCGCAATAAGACTGATGATCATCAAAGGCCCGTAAATTCTGTTTATATGTGTATAATGTACATATAATACTCGCTGGCAAAGCTCGTTGATTCAGAAATTTCTGCAGAAGTAGACGTCATACCCCTTTCTTTGTGCTAATTTAAAAAAACATATCATCCAGCAGTTACAACGTCATATGATGGGTAACAAGGGGGACTTGCGATCGAGAGTGAGGTGGAAGAGGAGTTTTAATTCAGTAGGTAACCATAGCGGACATCCATCCGGATTGCCTTCTTTTCGTGTTTTTTCTACGAACACTCCCAAAGGTAACTGTTTACTTATTTTTTAGTTAACAAGATTTCAATTCATATTCAATAGCGACAGAGCTATCGGGTTGCCTTGGAGACTAACTTTACGTGAACAACTTTCAACCATTCTCCTTTTTTATTGATAAAACTCCGAGCTGTTACACAGAAGTTGATTCGCCTGTTACGAAGAAAGGCCGACTGCAGCAATTGCAGTAGGGTGATGTTACGAGTCCTCATACGTCTTAATCAAGGAATGTGCTCTACTACGTTGAATTTTATAAAAATCTGTGTTTTTGCAAACACTCACACAAGCCAGATATTGCCTATTTTCTAAATGTACCAACGAGATCGGCTTGTTTGTGAAGTGTTTGGGTTTTCTGACGGAGGCAGATGTTGATACATGTAATGAATGATGGTAATTATCTTTTTAGGTATGTATGGTACCAAACTTGACACCATACGGAATATTCATAAGAGCGGTAGAGTAGCTATCTTAGATGTCGAGCCTCAGGCGCTCAAGGTATATTAGACAGTTTGTCGCACTTGATCTTAATGCATCGCATACAACTTCCCTTGATCACTTTAAGTTTAACCGTACATATGTGGTTTAGGTTCTTAGGACGGCAGAATATTCACCCTTCGTGGTTTTCATAGCTGCACCAAATCTTCAAGGACTTCAAGATGTAAGCTATAATATTTCGAAGGCAGAGTGACATTTCATTGTAGAGCTTATTTCAGCCTGACGGAAGCCTTGAAAGACTTTTGCGAGAGTCCGAAATACTACGTCAAGCCTTTGGTCACTTGTTCGATTGCGTCATTGTAAACAATGACATTGATGAGACGATCGCTCAACTGGAAAACATTGCTGAAACACTTTCTGTTTGTCCACAATGGTTGCCTGTTTCATGGGTTTATTGACATAACTTTGATTATCTAGAGAATAAAATTTCAGTTTTTTTCGATTCTGTTCTATTGTCACCAACTACATGCCCTATTTCTACGTACGTCATTACCAATTCTTGATATTGCCAAGAGAACTGGGCAGAGGTGCCGCGAAGTGTATATCCAGCTCGATGTGTGATTTGTTCTCGCCAACCATTTATGCTGTGATTGTTGCATCCTTGCGTTATAGCATAGTTAGCAAACCAAAATGGTCACAGCCAAAACTCATAATTTTACTGAAAAATCGTGATGAAGCCGTTGTCACAACAATAACAATACCAGGATCTTTTATATTGAGTTATGCAGGAGTAATAATGAGATATGAAATTTAATCTATTTGACTGCAAAGCTGCAATATCCACAGATAGAGCAAGGTGTTTGTTGCGGTAGCAGATTTTGCTAAAAGTAAAGTTGTTGACGTCTGCACTTATTCCCACCTCATGTGCGTTTTCTCATCTATTGTAATAGACGTTACCGCTCGTACACTTTAGATATGACAAAAAGGAAAGAGATTCTAGAAGGGCCATCATCTGTATTTTCAGTCGATTTTAGTTAATGCTCTTTGGAATATCTGGAACAGGATCAGATTGCAGGTCAATAGTGGTAAATATTCACTGATCAGATTGCAGGTCAATAGTGGTAAATATTCACAATACATCCACGCTCCAAATATGGACCATTCACCGAAGACTTTTGAGCGCTACTGTATATAGCGCTAAGCGTGTCTATTGGCTTGTCAATGTATGTTTGTAGGTATGTGTGTGTGTCTGTATGTATGAGGGTGTATATGTGAGTAGATGTGTATGTGTGTGGTATATGTTTTTTTTATTTATTTATCAAAAGCGCTCGTAAGCGTGCTATCGCAGAAACTTTTCTGACTCGACCACACAATTATACAAATTGCTGGAGCAAACGCACATCAAGGTAGGCTACGTAGTATTGTATTATTGTTGACCAATCGGGTTTCCCTTACGAAACTGGACTCTCGCTAAACTTGGCCCGCCGTTTGAGGCCCTTTCATATCTGGACACTTTGATAGAGGAGACCTGGGAGGTATGGATTTCCAGCCAAACAAAACGAATACTCCGACACATCCCGTGCGCGTCCCACCCGCCATGAGCGAATCCTGCATGAGTCCTGTATGTTTAAGCAAGGGTTTACTTCAACTCATTCCAACTCAGCTGCATATTTCTACTCAAGTTGCACTCATTTCGCGCACGCTCCACCCCTCTATACCCAAAACTTCCTTTACTTCCTTTCGTACCAAATTTGAACGCTCTACGTCCAAAACTACAATTTTCTCACCCACGCCTCACCCCTGTGGGCGGAGTCTAGTCCTGCCGTCAGTGTTCCCGCCCTGTGGCCTATACTCAAATTTGAGCACTGATTCCACGAGAACAAGAGTTATTCATTTCTAGTCCAACATTTTGCGCGCGAATGGCGTTACAATATCATTAAAAGGCCACTCGAATTAAATTATTATACTTCCCCGCGCGTGACTGTTGCAACTTAGAGCGGGTCATCGAGAAATGAAATTAGTACTCTAAGGAATGATATATTTACACATAAACACACACACACACACACATGTATTTCAAGAGTAAATACGAGAAGTAGAAAAATCCTATTATATATAATTAGCTAAGTGTGTCTGTTGGTTCGTCAGTTTGTGTGTATGTGTGTGTGAATGTGTGTGTGTGTGCGTGTGTGTGTACGTATATGTGTATGTATGTGTATGTATGTGTGTGTATGTGTGTGTTGTATGTATGTGTGTGTTGTGTGTTTATGTGCGTGTGTATGTGGGTATGTGTGTACATGTGTGTATGTATGCGTATGTGTGTATATGTGGGCATGTGTGTATGTGTGTATGTGTGTGTATGCTACATAGATTTCGCAATAAGTACCTTGCACTACTGGAAAACTGTTCTGTGCGAAGGGTTGTTCCTGAAATAGAAAGGCAGTCATTGAGGAACCACACTTAGGCTTGTGGCTGGACACATTGTTTCTAAGAGGGTGGTCAAACAACTGTCAAAAGAGTTGTTCTGGGAAACCATGAAACGAGATATCACTCAGTGGTCCCAGGTGTGGTAAAAGTGTCTTTGTCACCAATATCGCCACCCAACGGTGCCAGGGTCGAAAACCATCGTAACATCGAAGCCGTATGAACCAGTTGACGTCGATGTTCTGGAGATGGAGATGGAGATGGATTCAACCTTCGAAGGAAACCGTTACATATCTAGCAGGATAGATTATTCTTCAAAGTTTGGTGGGACATGGACCATTTCATCAAAGATAGCTACAGTGGCTAGAGTGTTTTTCAAAAGGTGGGTTGCTGAGGCAGCACGTCCTCCAGAACACATCCTCCAGGTCAAGAACCGGAGGTCGACAACCGTCTGATAGAGGAACTCGGACCATATATTACGAAGAGTTAATCAGCGATAGAATGGTTTGAGATTCAAGATTTAAAAAGAAAAATCATCCAGACTTCGAGAAAGGAGTTGGCTGTAAATGCTGAGCGGGATAAGATACTACCGCTTTGCGTGTTTCTTCCTAATACGACAGTTTACGACAGTTCATGAGTCTACTAGAGAGCTGTCGTTGTTTTTGCCTTACGAAGACGATCATTATATCCTTTCTCCGATCGCACGACAGAGACAAGTACATATGTACCAGACTACCGAAACTCGGAAGTCGCAGTAATGCAGGACACCCCCGATCCATCAGAAGTCTGTTACTTTAAACTATTAGGAGAGCTCTAAGATAACGATATCTTTGCCTGGATGTCCGTTCCCCAAACTCGCTATTAACTCAGCATAATTAGCATTCTGTCCAAGCTCCGCCGTTCACTCAGGCTCATCTACCACCGCAGATACGATGAGTTATTTTGAGCCCCATTTTCTTTTGCTTTTCTGGAGAGATAGCACCTGGAGATATCTTTTGAAGCACCCAGAACATCAGCTACGCGATTCGCACACCTCCAGATGGAGGCTCCGTTTTTCTCGTTTTCTGGTTTCCCCTTCCAAAGTTCAGAGCCCATCCGAACACTCTGACTGTCACATCAGTGCATTTAAAAGTGCCGTGAAGGGTTGATACTCAGTGTACACTTTAACCTGGAGTCTGTACACAAACATGTAGAGCTTCTTCAGAACAAAAACGACCTTCGAACGAATTTTGAAGCGAACAACGCCGGACACGAAAAACATCCTTTTCGTCTTGGTAATTGCAGCATCTCTACATTGGGTGCTTGCGTCAGTATGAATCTTGGACGGTCTTTTACTGTTGCTGACCGCCTCGATATCCGGCTGTGGCAACTCTGGCGCGTACACTATGATCGACTTCAGTTGGTCGAAGCACGATTCACGTGAGAGATCCCATTGAAAGGAAGTAGTTACTGATGCCATCACATGTAGCGGAGCGGCTACTTTCGAGAATGTCAGTACAATTTCCGGTAGTATGAACACATACTGAGTAACATACGAAGGTTCGTGCGCGACTGCGGTGACGGGTACTTCATAATCGCTTCCACTTTAGCTGAATCCATGTTTAACGTGTCATGGTCATTGATGTGATCCAGAAAATTAAGTTTTATCATCATTAACACGCACTTCTTTGGGTTCAACTCAAGTATGGAGTGCTTTTAATAACAAGTTCTGTTCCAACACCTGAAGGTGATGCTTCACGATTTTTGTTCTACAATTATATGGCCCAGTTAACAAAAAACGACACGCTCAACAAGTGGGCTAAGACCGCATGCATCGTCGTTGGAATACCGCAGGTGTTTATGCCTAGCGGAGGCCTATTTCTGCTTTCCATCCTCGGATAGGCTTATTTGTCAATAACCTGAAGAAAAATCCAAGTGGGGAAGTGTTCCCTGCCCTTCAAGCTTCGCAGGATCGTGTCGATTGCTAGTGGCGAATGAATATCAAATGTCACTTCATTGACCTTGCGTAATCCAGACACAGTCGAAAGGTACCATCATAGTTGTGTACCAATACGACTTGGAGTGCGTTCGTTACTATAACCGTCATAATGTCTCCTCCTAACATGACAAACATGACAATACAGTACTTCGTCCATCGATCACTGGCAAGTCTGGTCCTATTCCATCTTCGAATGAAACCTTAATGTCCTAGGCATCGAAAACTTGCTTTTGTTTATTTGTCGAAATTTCTTTTACTTCTCTGTGTAAATGAAAACCAGCATCCATCCTGCCTGGAGCATAATACTGGTCTGAGATCCTGTGTCTAGCAAGCTTTGCGTTTCATCCCAAGAATCACCCAACCCGTATTATCCCATTTGATCTCTGCTGCTCCCTGTATCCACTTTTCAGAAATGCAGTGAATATTTTTGTTGCTGCCTCTGTATGGTGTTTGCGTACCGTTTCGCATATGGTACGCTGCTTCCCCGGCAATGCGCATTTTTTCTTCAGATGCTCTCGTCTGCTGCAGTTGTACCATTTGACAACGTATTTATGTTTAGTCGTTTTTATTTGTGTCTGCTAGTATTCCATGGTATGCTGCTACAGTTCTCTGGGGTTATGCGCTTTTCACTTTCCTGGCAAGTTGCTTGCTTTGCTCCCATCATTGCTCAATGGTTTTCATCATCACATAATCCGATCCTTCTTGAGCGCTCTTCATTACCATGTAGGTTGGGGATGTTCGAAATTTTCAAATGAGTTGGTAAATTGGCTTACTAGCGTTCCTGCTCCTGTACAGTATAGTTCTTCTTCCAATGCCTTAGGATAGGCATCTGTTGCCTTTCCAATTCCATGAAAAATTTTGTTACATCTTCTATTTTTCTGTGTCGTCTGAGATCCAGATATGCCTTCGATTGCATCGCACACTCCTTATATTCGAATTTTGACCTTAGTGCTTCCGACATATTCGAAAATCCCTTCTCCAAAATATTTAATAGCCCTTGGGGGTAACTGCTCTGGGGTAACTTCCTAGTTGAATATAAGTAAATGGTCCAACATT